TTAAATATATATTTAAAATATATTTTTAAATATATATATATATATTTTTTTTTTGTTTATTCGGATCATTTAAATTTGGATCTTGTTCAGAATTGGTCTGTCGTTATGACAGTAATATCAGGGTAAAAATCTTGTGTACTGATGATGAAACATAATATGCATCAAGCTGCCAAGATACATACATATCTATTACATTCTATTATGTATAATAAATATATAATAGAAATGTATATAATGTAATAAACAATATATATTATATAATACATAAATATATATATTACCCGAAAAACGGTCCCCGTCATACAATTTTTTTTCAATTATAATAAATAAGATGTAAAGAGAAATCGTACATACATTTTAATCCAATTCACATGGAACGTAACCTAACTTTTTCGATAAGTTTTTTTATTCGGTGCAAACAACGTTGTACTTATGGAATTACGGAATCATTAATAAAATGTTAATGGAACTTACCTGTTCCCAAATGTCAAGCGCGTCAGAATTAGAAATTGTGATTTATATTAATATCCGTAATTCGTACCGTATAAATCTAGTCTACGTAATTTTCTGATCGACAAAGTTGGGTTATGTATCAGCTGATTAAAGCGCACGCGCAGTTAAAAGCATTTTTGATATTTGCGCATCTAATTCGTATTCTTCAAATGGAATACGTCAGGGAAACGCAATTAGATTTTTTAGCGGACCAAATGTGAAAGAAGTACACGTTTATATCGTGGCCTGCAGCAGCTTTTGCATTATCACATGGATCACCACGAGAGGTAAAATAAAGTCGAATCTTTTTTAATTTTTCTTTTTTACTTTTTTTTTTTTTAAACATGTTTTTTTTTTTTATTAATTATATCGCCGAGATCGAAATTCTGGTAACTTTGCAACAAGAACAGTTGACGAGAAAAAGTATGCGTACTCGAAACCTCGGGATCCCAGTCGCAGTATCACATCACAATTTAATTAGTTTATTTTTCATTTTTTTGCAGATCAAGCTTGGACGTCGCGGGCCGCCAGTTACGTATACGTATTCCTGGAATACGTATTCTTCATTCTTTATTGCGCCTTGTTTCTTTAATTCGTCCTTTTTCCAAAGAGAATGCATATATTTAAATCATACAGTTTGTTTCTTACAATTAAACTTTCTGTACTTTTTATCTTTTATTTTTATTTTCCTTTGACGTCTAATTAACTACCTCCCTCGCGGAAATGTCCCTGTCTCAGAATTTTTCATATTATTAATCATCAGAATTTTTATGAAAATAATTTTTAGACTTTTTTATTAGAATGTTTAGATTTTCTCAGATTTTTTAAACGAATTGGAACGTTTTTCAGAAAAACTGCTAAAATAATAATAAAATATATACATACATATAATATATTATATATACATACATATAATATATTTCATATTTTTCCCGTAAATATCTTTGTAGAAATATGAATAAATATGAGAAAATCCACTCAATTTATTAGAATTTTTTATACATATATATACAGATACTAAAATAAGTATTCCGAAAATCCTCATCCAATTATTTCTGAAAGTATCTGAGAAATTTGACATATTTTTTCAGAATTTTTCATAAACGTAAAATATGATCGAGTAATTTTTAAGAAATTTCTGGAAAAAAATGAGAAACGTTTTCATCAGGATTGTTTCATTTTAAATATAGAAAGTGCAATATAATGTAACCAGAGCCGGCACTAATTGTGAGCGATATTTAAATCAGTACCACAGTATAACCATACTCAGTAGCGACAGTGAGCGTCGGCACCTTTGATGTATAGTAGGTCGCGGTCACATGACTCGCCGCCATCTTCTGAAATGTACGAACGCTTAAGAAAGAAAGAGAGAGCAGTATCTTTCTCTTTGTCACACATACAGGCCGCCACATTCCTAAATGTATACGAAATTTGGTTCCACTAAAAACGTTCAGTGTCGATACTGGGTATGGTTATATTGTGTCAGTGCCCTGTATATGAAGAAAATGGTTAATATATTCTGAATAATTTAATAGTGTATAGGTATTCTGTTTTAATTGTAAATTGTTTACTTGTTATTCTAAGAAAGATACGATAATTTAAGTTGTTTAATTGCAAAAGAGTAGTTAAATTAGCAGAATCCCGCTTTCAGTCATTTTATCAGTTCACGAAACTTTCTTAGCCAATCTTAATATTAATTACAAAAAATAAATTAATTTAGAAGATACTTTAAAAGCAATTTTTTAAAACAATAATTGCTACTTATTTATTTAAAATATTTTTTAAATTAAAAAAATTAAACTTTTAAATTGGAAAATTAGTCAAAAGAATCAGAAAGTTATATTTGATTATTTATCGTATATCTCTACGCGAATTTCACGGACAATCGTTCAATAAAAAAAATAGCTCAACCGAAAAGAAGAGAAAAGAAGATTATTAAATCCGAAGACCGAAGATTATGAGAAAACAGAAAAAATTGATCTATGTATTGTGGCAAGTAAACATAAAGGATCCCAGGTAGCAAGCACTCGTCATTTTGACGTCAATTGACGTCAAAAGACGTCAAAATGACAGACTTTTGACGTCAATTGACGTCAAAATGATGAGTGCTTGCTACCTGGGATAAATATATGTCTTCTTACATAACGCTTTCTTATTTTGATAGCAACCACAGAATTTTTGTATTTAAAGTCATTTATTAAAAGTACAAATACAATATAAAAATGATACACAAATAGATAACTAAATTATTAAAATTGAAAGTGTGAAAATTACAACTTACGCTGAGTTGTCTCAATTTTGCGCATCAAAATTGTTTCAATTATTGCAAAATCGATCGAAATAATTGGATTTCTCATGCATTAATTTACTAGCGAGCGGCTCGTTGTAGGAAGAGTGCGATTGCCACGAGTATTCCGGCGGACGTCATCAGCGAGCCTGCGAAAGAAAGAGGTAAAAACTCAAGCGACTCGTTTGAGAGTTGGACCGAATTAGTTTGTGACGGCGCAATTAAACCTAATTAACCTTTGCATCGCTCTCCTTCCTTACACACGCACTGTTGATTCTTACACTCCATTGTGTCCGCATACTTATTGTTTTCGAAGCACTCGTAGTCGTGCGAGCAAGTATAGTACAAGACTGTAAAACAATAAAGTAACGTTGAAAATACAATTCTCTCAGAAAACCAAATTGATCGACTCTACAAAGCAGAAAGTAAGAATTCGATGAAGCTACAAACTAATCGCAAAAATTGATTAAAATTCTAATTGATCGGTATAGCTTTCGAAAGGTTCGCTTATCTATTAATTTTTTGCTGCGCGGTCTTCTTAATTCAACTTTTTGACGATTTTTTTTCTAGCACGAGAAAAACAGACTTAAATCGATTGTCTTCCTTTTTTTCGTGGAAAAAGAAAAATGCGAGTGTTTACATACTTCGACTCTGCACGCAGACCCTGGTCTCGTTTACGAAATGATATCCCGTGATACACTGACACCTCTCGTTGATGCATAACGCATAATTGAAACTTTCCTGGCACACGTCGGTGTTCGCTTGGCAGCGGTCGCCAATTTTAGCGGGTCCTGCAACATTTCTTTCTTTCAACCACTTGCAGAGGACGAAGGCGGGGCTTGTTCTCCGATGCCTTTCGCGACTTTTCTCTGTATTTCAGCACGACGAGAATCGCAATTTTTACTTACTGCTAATGCAATTTGAAGAATTATTGCTGTCCAGGAAGAAGTCATCTTTGCAGGCGCAGGTGTTCTGCTTGCATTCCCCGTTCGCTATGCTTTGACACGGTACGTTGTCCAAGCAACTCAGGCCAACAGCTGTACAAAACGCACGCAAGGAGTTTTATTCTCCGAAAATAATTTTATCTTATTTTTTTATGTCTTGTAAAGGCAAGGAAAATGTAACAAGTTGATATAAATGTACAATAGCATGAATTTGTAACGCGGCTTGCCTAACGTAACCGAATGATGGAAAATTTAAAAATTATAAATATCTATAATAAATTATGTATGCGAATTATATATGTCGGCAACTCTTCGTATTTGTTGACTTAGCCAACATTACACTTCTCAGTATAGGTCATCCAACTCGCATCCGCGTATAATATTGCGATCCCGATTATCTTTCGCTTGGGAAATAATCGATAGCGAACTTACTGGCGATGCATTTCGATTTATCGAGGCTCGGCGAGTAAAACGGATCGCATAGACAGACATCTTGCCACCGACAAAATGCATTCTCGATGCAATCGATGTCCCTCTCGCATTTCTCGCCAACAAACCCGGCAGTGCGCTCCGCTAAAACCATCAAAAATGCTTTAATTATGACTGATAGTCGATTAATCGTCGGGAAGACAATTACAAATTAAATAGCGATAAATTACTATCTGGAAATTAATTTAATTTCTAATGTGATCTACTATCAGCAATAGATGCCTCGATAACGATCGATTCCAATTAAATAACGCAACAATTTAAGATATAAGATTAAATTTAATAGATTACAAAAATATAAAGATCGTATAAGAAATATCTAAAAATATTTAAAAGATTAGGTATAACGTTTTCTAATGTTGAAATTCGAGGACTGTTTGAGAAATTGGAACTTATCTCAAATGTATAAAAAATATCTAAAAAAAATTATAGATCTAAAACTTCCCTGAGTCTAAGAATATCTAAGGGGCATCCTCATTTTTTAGAACATCTGAAAGATGGTTGAAAAGAAGAATCTATATTAGAATATATTAGCTATTATACTTAAAACTCCCTTTTGCCGCGTGTGACGTAACACAATACAACCGACTTGCGTCGAACCTAATGTCGGGAATTGCGCGGTAATTATGCGATAATTCGCGTAATTCGGGTACACTCACAATCCTGCTGAGAGGAAGCGTAGCCGGCGAGCGAGCAGAGAATGAAGGAGATGCAGACGAGAGCCGTCATTGGAATCGAGATCTGTGCTCAGGTGCAAACGTGAGGCACATCCAGGCGACTGCCAGATAGCGGGCTCATGACGCACCTTCCGCTAGGGGACGTATATTCGTACGCTCTGGTCAGATAAACGTTATCTCTAGGCGTATCCAGCGATATCCCGTTCGGAGTGAATCAGAGGCTTCAATTATATCGAGCAAAATGCGCCTGTCGTCGGACACTAAGAGAATGGTAGAGGCGTCGATTTACTCTGATTTAAAACGAGGAACGCGATAGCACTTCTCTCATTTTTGACTGATGATTTATGCCGGTTAATCGCGGCGGAAAGAGAAAATAGTAAGCCACGAACCGCGACAAATTGCGGCTTATGAAAGAAGTTGATACGCCGCCCGACGTTGTCATTTCTCTGACATTGTATTGTGTAAAATGAAAACAGAAAACATGCCGTGTCATCGATTTGCGAATTCGCAATCTGCCGACGGGCGACATAGCTGTGAGACACAGTAGTGGGAGGTTCCCCGTGTACTTATTGGATTATCATTTATAATTTTATACGACAAAATCGTAACAAAGATTGCGAGAAAGCAATAGAATCAAACAAGTGACATTAATATACAGCAATTTGCACATTTCAAGCGGAGCGTTTTTCTTCGTCACAATTAAATCGGGGATGATGACCGATTAAGCGAAGAAATCGCTGAAACGGTACCAATGATGTAATATTGTAATACGATCAACATACTTCGTTTAATTATGTGTTAAGGCGATTGTGTGTGGCCAAGCCATTCATTCAACGACAGTTCGTGCCGTGATAGCAATAATTATTTTGCTAATTCAACCTCATCGGATTCATTATCATTATAAAATGGTTACCATGTGAAACGTGGCTTTACACCCGCCCTTACACTCTCGCACGATACTCGTCATATCTCGTCTAATTCATTGGTGGCGATTCGCGTCACAAGTCGCATTTATTTCATTGCCAGTTGAATGCGACGTGCATCGGAAATTACGAGGAAATGAAGAAAGCAAATACTTGCATGAATATTTTACTTAATATATGTCGGAAATCTCTATAAACAGATCTCTATAAACAGTTCACATAACATCTACACGTGTCAAATACTCATAATTAATATACACTATATTATAGTAAAGTATCAGCGAATGCAATGTTCGTACAGTTGCTGACTTTGGGTTAACAATGTAAAACAGTCGCGAAACGTCGGAAGGTTATATAGTCTCGTTTAGATCTAGTTTCATCTGGCTTTCATGTTATAAGAATTGAAATTGATTGAAGGAAGGAGAACTCTGGGAACGATAAAAAGTAAATAAATTAATAAACGCATAGGAGTAAGCAACGCAGCGTAAGCGAATGTATTGTAATAAAAGAAATGAAAACGTGAAAACAAATTTAAATTGCGATTATAAGAAACGGAAAAATGTAGTGTGAATAAAAACGGCTTATATATAATAGAAATAAAAAGAGAACTTTGTAAGGTATAAATAAAGTTATTACAAAGCCTTTGCTTCTGTAAAAAAAGAAATTGTGTTGGAAATGGAAAATGCGCTAGGCAAAGATATCAATAATAAAGTATACAGAGACGTTAGAATTTTGTTACAATGATTATAATATCGCGAATACTTTGAAACACAAAAGGCACATTTTGTGCAAAACGCAAATACGCTCTCTCTCTCTCTCTCTCTCTCTCTCTTGCTTTGTCTTTCTATACAAAAGTAGATGCTTCTGGCTCCTTTTAAGAATCTTTACTTTGTTTCTATTTGCATGATTTAACAACAACAACAATAAAATAATTTTATTAAAGTGCGAGTAATATAAAATATTGTACATTGGAAGCGGCAAAAGTATGATAAACTGCATCTTAAGAGATAAAGGCATCAGCGATAATGTAATGTACAAACCTAGATCTCCAATATAATTAAAATAACAATAGACAATAATAACAATGATAATTCATATATGCGAATATGTAACTTAACTTAAAGGTCTATTTATACATATCTGTGACGTATCCAGTGCCGTAATGCCATATCCGCTCTTTTGTGATTTTCTGTCAGTATCAGTAATGACTGATGATAAATATCGTTCCTTTGTTTTTGGATGGTTTACAAGTTCACCCACGTCCGGCACGTACAGTATCGTATTCGGATTGTTCAGTCTCAGTTCAGTATCGGTACAGTGACATTGTGTTTATTGCATACGATATTTTTGCTTCTTCACGGACGCGTCATGCCCGTATCAGACTACGGATTGGGATTGAGATTGAATTGAAATTTTACCAATCAGAGCAAAGTTTACTAAACTTGAGATCAGTTTCCTCTATTCTGATTGATTAAATTTCAATTCAATCTCAATCTCAATCCGTAGTCTGATATGGGCTTTACGATGGTCAATAAGTTTGCCTGTGAATCATTCCGTGCCCGTGCCAAGCGGATCACTTTTTTTGGATCGAGTCGTGGATTTGGATGCAAATGGAATATTATATGTTTATTGCGTAATTTTATGGTAAAATTTTACGGTAAAATTACGCTTAATATAATATTTCATCGTTCATAAGCTGAGCCATCTCGAAAATCACTGACTTCGAACTGACTAAACTATGTACAGATATGTGTGAATAGATCTTAAGAGTATACAAAGATAAAATAAATATTAATAATATCTTAGCAATTATATATATATATATATATATATATATATATATATATATATATATATATATATAAGTTATTAACAAATATCAGTGAAATAATTTATGCATGAGAATATACGATACAATGAGAGAAGAAAAGACAAACAATAACTGAATTAACCATTATAATTAAATGTATAAGATAGGTACAAAGCAGTAATTTTAGTACAATTTCATCAGATATAGGTGTATTAAGTAAAGTAAGATGGGCCATATATGTTGATTTAAAAGTGAGAAACGATATAACAATGTTAACGAAGAACTTAAATTAAAGATAAGGCAATTAATGAGATACGTATTCGATACTCGTCATCGTAGTAACAGAAAGTTGAAATAATAATTCTGCAAAATTCGAACGTGTAATAACATTGTATAACGTTGCGAGCGTTAGCATAACGCGCGAAAATGTCGATCGGATTTATCGGTGCCTCCGATCCATCCAGAGCCGGGAGAAAATTAGCGCCGTCGTAGTGGGAGGGGGCAGAGACATAGAGAGGGACGAACACAGAAATGTATTTGCGAGCGAGCGAGTGGTCGCGGGGTGAGAGACATAGTAAACGGGACGAGAAGGAGGACTCGCGGCACGCTCGGCGCTCGGCTCTTTGAATCCGCGTTCGTCAGTCGCAGACGCGGTGCCGACGCTCGATTGCAAACCGATTGCAGACCGATTTTGCATTACTGACTGATCGTTAGTCATCCGCACGAAGGTAGATCAAGAGAGCTCGGTGAGCGAAATAACCGCAAATTGCAAATCGAATCATTTTCGGAAGGAGGAGAGATGTGTCCAGTCGGCATGAGGACGTGCGTAGTCCTGAGCACGATCGCGCTGGCGATAGTGCTTACGAACGGAGATAAGATCGGTGAGTGTGCCATTCCTCTCGCTCGATCAACGCGATCGACCTGCCTTGTTATAATCTCGGACAGCCCACGGCGCGGTAATTGCAGAGAATTTTTCGTCGCGGATTTTCGAAACGCTCTTCAAAACTTAGCGGCACGACTTTGAAGCATGTACGCTTGGCATGATCGCAGGGAACGAGATAATGTTTGCGCTGCCATATAAACATCATGTTGTCCAAAATACCCGGGTGACCTTTTCTTCCGAGAAGAATTCCCTCGGAATTTGTCTCACGTTTGTCCTCGAATTCTTTGTCGCCAGTTTAAATTAAATTAATTACAAATATGTAATTTGAAATATATTTTTGCGCGAGAAGAAATATATTCTCAAATATATATTTTCTCGCGCAAAAATATATTCTGAATTATGTAATTGTAATTAATTTAATTGATGTTACATGACGATAATAATTTATAACTTATAAAAATACACTTATTGAAAATTAATTGCTATGTGCTACTAATATTTCAGATTTACTCCGAATGACTTTTAATGTCACTAATAATTTAATTATTAATTAAACTTGGTAGCGTAATTAATAATAATTATAGATTCTTTTACCTAAGAAAGAAGTCTCCAAAGAATTCTATATATCTTGTACACAATTTCTAACAACCTGTAATGATTACATTTGCTCAATCATAACAGTTGGATCAAATATGTTGCTCAACGGTTACGGTTTATGTCATGATATATTAATTCACATATATCACGTTATCCGTGTGAATCATAATAATGCAGGATTTTCTTATCAAAGTGCAAAATACGTTTCCGCTTATTTGCTTATCACTTTTAATACTTAACTTTGCATGTATGTATAAGTGAAACATTCTCCAAATCATCTGCATCTTCCGAGTCATACTCATATGTACACAGTGCTTACGACTTTCCAACGTACTTTTCAATAAATTTATATTAAAAGAAATTTTACCGTGACACACGCATACCATAATTACATATGATTGATTACTGATTATAACATTAATTCGCGCGCCCATAATCTCAATCTCAAACTTGACAAAGGCCGCAGATTATTCGGACATAAATAAACAGCGTTATTTATTTTCGCTGAAAGTCTTCTACTTTTTGCAAGTCTGTAAATTGGTTCGTATATCTTACATAAATCGAACATTCTAAAGATGTCTTTGATTGAATCGGTCATTGCTAAAGACACGTTTATGCGTTTTTGCAAATAAAATATTTGAAGGAGACATTTATTTGTTTTAAGTTATAAAGCGAATTTGGAAATACACTACGGCCAAAGAGGTCCATGATGTATTTCATTGTGTATTTCCGTTATAACATTACGTGGTTTGTGACAATTTTTCTGACAATGAAATGAAAAAATGAATAATTACGATTTTTGAAACGACCGATTCAATTGCAGATACCCTTATCCCATGCCGAAATACGTCAGATTGTAGGAGCATGTCGACACTTCCGAGTGACGCTTTTTGCAAAGACGGGTTATGCATGTGTCCAAAAGTAGACACGGGAGATCAAGCTTGCTCTAGCATCAACGCATCTATGCACGAGAATAAAATTTCAGGTGATCAGCCACGCGACTCGAATATATTAGAGTTCTTGTCTTATTTGCCGAATCTTCCGAATAAAATGACTGTAAGATAATTCTTTTTTTTAGGTCCGCTGCTTTATCGAACGTGCATACACGCCCAAGATTGTAACTTCCTGGGCGGAATATGCAACACTACTATTCGCCAGTGCATTTGTTTAAAAGACTACGTGCCGTCGAGCAATAAACATCATTGCGTCGAAAGTAAGCGTAGAAAGACACGACAATTCTTTTATAAATATTGTCTAGTCGTCGTGAAAAGCGGGAGTAATCCTTGAAATTTTTCTAGTTTAAATATAATTTGGCATTCTTTTATTATTTAAATTATTGTATGTAATTGTTTATTTTTAATAGTTCTAGTAACTAATTTTAACGCTTATACGATTTCTTTAAACAGAGATCAACGCGATTGAAGCTTCTTGTACAGATGAAAATCAATGTTTAGCGTTTGTGCCGCACACTACTTGCGAGAACAGTAAATGCGTTTGTATATCGGGTTATCATTACGCAGACAACGCATGCTGGAAAGTAGCCGGTAAGTGTTATAATAATGTTTATTTCTCATAGAATAATTTTTTGTAAAGAAAGATTAAAAATTCAAGTTTTCTTTATGATTTGATCGATTCCATCGATTCGCGTGTCGATCACGATATGACATTATTGAGAAAAGTCTTTGATCGACGAACAAGTTCTTGAATTATTTTGTTCCGGGATAAATGAAAGGATTAATTTAACCGATAAGAATTATTCGCAATAAAACTTTTAACTTCCTAATTTTTTGTCCCTAATCTAATATTCTTTTCAAACACTTTTTTAACTAACAATTTTATTTCTACTAACAAAATGCGGGTATTACTTGGTAAATTAATTGCCGCTCAAAATAACGCGAGTCAAACTCATCCTAAGCATATGTATACAGAGAGAAAGAAAGTAGAAGCAAAAGTACAAGCTACTAGAAAATTCAGGAGAAATAAAACTTTGACTATATAATACGAATTTGCGGTAAGAAAAATGAATAAGTTCTGAAAAATGAACTAAGAAACAAACTAAGATATATGGTAATAATAATTAACTAATTGTAGTAAATATGGTTGAATATGGACTATAAAAAAATAGTACTGTAAAGTAATTGCATTAATAAAAAACATATTACTGATACAAAAGATATGTCATAATGCGATTATGGCATTAATAATTCATTTAAAATATGTATTTATCTGAATTGAAAGAATACAGATCAATTTATAAGAAAATACTATTTGATCCGAGTTTGATCTTGGTAGCTTAATAATATTTCTGTGCATTTCCACGTACACATATTTTTAACTTAATAAACTGCGCGCTAATTATTTATCGGATTTAATATACAGTAAAACACAGTTTCCGTTGGAGTAATAAAATCTCCCCTTCTCTCCCCCACTTAAATCGATATCGATATAACTTTGATGCTAATAAGCATTCTATTTAAATTACTGTAAAGAATTTAACGGAAAAATATCATTTCAACCAGGATTCGAACCTGGTATCTCCTTCAATGCGTGACGAGTGTCTTAAATGACATTTTCTTCTGAAATGATTTGTATATCATGATCTTGTTTCTCTTAATATTGAAAGAATATAATTCATCGTACGGAATCTGTAGCTATATATTATAGTTGTCTTGTGTGTGTTATTTCATTACTTATACTTAATAATTCATGCGACTACTGAAATAATCTTTAACATCCAGCTGTATCAAAGTAATTCGACTAATAATTTCTATACTATTGCAGTTATATACAAATATTAAATTACAGCACATTTTTTATCTTGATCATAATATTTTCATAATTCTCAGTACCATTTTCTCATAACTTTTTTTTCACGACTTTGCAAAACCACTTGCGGATGTCATATTGTAGCAGTATTATTTAATTTTTTCTAAGTGTAATCACGTTTGCAGAGTACAATGAGCCATGCACGAAAAACCAGGAATGCTCGCACGTGAAGGGTGCTATCTGCACGGATAACATGACATGCGGATGCGCGGCTGAAACGGTGCTGAATATGGACGGCAAGAAGTGTTTGGCGGCCGCCAAAAAGATCCGGAACGAATGCACGGAGTCAATACAGTGCACGGCAACGTTCGAGTTTTCAACTTGCGTCGACAATATGTGCCAGTGCGAGCAGAATTTTCATTACGAACACGAGCTGACGAGATGTTTTTCCAACAAAGGTACTCGAGAGTTTTCAACCAATAGTTCTCCCGTAGAATCATCGCGTCATGTTTTAAAAAATCCAATTCCAAAAATCTCTTTCTCCGCACCACGTCATAAGAGATAACAATTAATCGTTTTCATCGTTTTGCAGCGATCGGCGATGAGTGCGCGAACAATTACGAGTGTTACCAGGCCGAAGATTACGAGAACGATCCGTCGATTAAGTCTGTGACGTGTAACTCTAACACATGCACGTGCGCCGACAATTACATCTTAAGCGAGAACAAGTGCGTGAGCGCCGGTAAGTGAAAACCGATGTATTTAACACGCATCTCATCTAAAACGAGGAAATTAATAATTATTCATGGAAGATGCATTTCAATTTTATTCGCTCTTATGTCCATTTCTACCGGTGCAGCTTAACTTTAATCTAGATTTAACTTACCTTTTATTTTTTTTCTAATTCTTAGAACTAAGAAAAGGTAAAAAGTAAGTTGAACCGAGATTAAAGTCAATACACCTTGGTAGAAATGGACATTACTCGCAAATTCTTGTTCTTAATGCATTTTTTACGTTTTTGCAGGCTCGTCCTTCGTTGCGTCCTTGTCAATAATCATCCTTGTAATAACGCTGACTTTCTTTTCATGAAGTGCAAAATACGATTTCTTAAAAGAGGCACACAAGTCGTTAATGGAGTTGAACTTTTAATGATTATAACATTGTGCATGCGCAAGAGAAATTTAATCTCAAGGAAGAAACGCAAGTAGGCCTGGCGTGGTTGAGGAGGCAATTCATTCTCGGATTATTTACTTGCGGATTATAATTATTTATGTTATCATTCGCGAGACTTTTCTTAAGGACTTTTAAAAATTCCTAAGGAATGCCCGTGAATTTTTCACATGTAATAATATCACGTTAACGCACACTAATCTTAGTCAAACGATACCTCGCAAATCAAGGTGTATGGAATTCAGAGAACTTCCTCTATATATATATACATATATATATATATATATATATATATATGTGTGTGTATGTGTGTGTGTATGCGTGTTTGTGGGATTGTGTGATAACAGAGTAAGAAAAAGAAATAGAAAAAAGAGAGCGAGATAAACCTGATTATCCAAGCTTTGATGATAGATCACAGCTTTATTGCGTATGTAGATTTGAATGATCGTACTTGTGTTTGATCCGTGATATACTTAAAATGTACAGTAATATATTTAAACGGTGCAATCGAAACGATATGAATAATAGCGAGGTTTCTTCAAGCGCAATGTAAAAATCGGCCGTATTCATCACTTTTATTTTCGTCGTTAATCGCCAAGGTTGTAGTGCATTTCCGGACACCGGAATTGCGTAAAACCGGACGCGAGGAAAAAAAGAGCAGCGTGAAAACGAAACAATATCAAGCACCGTTGTAATTACGCAGCAAAATACTCTCGGCGAAGGCGGCGCCAGAGGCTCGAACTATATAGGCGCACCGACGTGTTTAAAGCCTTCTACTCGCGTGCATTTAATTAACGCGGTTATTAATATGCGGATGCTGATGTGTTGCATACCGTTTCTTAGAGCAATGCAAACTGGATAGAATTTACGAGCGCAAAGAAAAGATTTAGTTGTTTGAAATCCTTTTTATGCGCTTCTATTTTTATACCAAGCCACAGATATACATCAAATAACTTTTTTTTGGTTCTACTTTGCGATTGCTTAATGAAAAATAAGATAAAACGAGCAATAATAACGTTTCTCTCTTGCTTTTCAATACTTATTACTCCAAGATTATAAGTACTTATATCTGTAGTGCGGTTTTAAAAGAGCAAATGTCAAATTTTCAAAGCGTATATATTGTATGTTGTATAAATTTTAATTTTTATACATAAATAATATAGATAGCTTCGAAATTTTTACGTATGCCCTTTCAGAATCAAGTGAATCAATGTTAAACTTTAGTACTCCTCTTCGTTTATCTAGTTTATTATCGACATCCTTTTGTACTATTTTAATGAAAATACCATTTCAATGAAATTCACTGAGCTTTTAGTAAATGTCAGTAAATATTTTATTATAAAACTATATATACATAATATTATATTTTATACGTTATATTTCAGCGATACGTTATATAACGCGCGGTATCTTAAATATTATACATTTCTCATACAAACGAAACAATTATATGTAACGCGCGATTTCTTAAATACATTTTTCACATAAACGAAACAATTCTATTTGTCTTTTATATTCGTACGAATCTTGTTCTTGTTCGAATAAATAGCCAATATCGTGTTTTATATATTATCGTTAAATTTGCAGGATACGATAATTGTTAGTACAATTATTGTTAGTACGATTCCGTCTCTCTTTTACATTTATATTATTACTATGATAAAATGTATAATATCTGCAACAATGCAACATATTTTATTATAAAACCATATACATAAAATATTATATTTCATACATTATATTGTGGTAATAGCATGTGGTTTCTTAATTCTACATTACTTGTTTGGTTTCTTTTAACATAATTATTCGCGTGGAGTATACTTTATATTCCAACGTTATATCTCAATTTTCATTGTTCTTTTTGATGATTTACTTACTAATTAAATAAAGATTGATAATATTTTATATGCCTTTTGGATAAAGATAAGCGCAAAAGTTCTTCCTTAATTGTGAAAAAATTTTTGTGCAGCATTCGAGCTATAAAAAAAGTTTTACTCTGTGAATTTAACAAATTTCTAAAGCTAAGGTGTATTTTACATACCACACGAGTAACGTACAGAACTACATATATCTCTAAATGGCGATTTTATTCGTTTTTCACATTTTTATTGTTCTTCAAATAAATAGCTTGCATCGTTAAGCATATTTTGCATATACATATATCATTGAACTTGTATATAGTGAATATGATAGTTATTAATGCAGTTATACGATTCCGTCATTTTTATATATTTTTATTACTACTATGATAAAAAATGTTATATAATATATGTGATAAAATCTATATATTACATATTGTATATCGTATATTTATATTATAAAATACATATTATATTATATAATATACAAATAAAGATAGAAAAGTTTACTGGCTCTATACCTTAAGCTCGTTATTTTAAAGCACTGTTTAGAAATATTCACATTAGAATTAAGTCACGTATTCCCAATAGAAAATCCGCGCGAACGAAACGCTAACCGACAAAGAACCTCAATAATTCGTTATTGTTATTCTCATTTTGACTTTAAAAGAAACGCAGTATAATAGAATAAAAGTATTTAAATAATAGTATAATGGAATGAAAGTATTTGAATAATATAAAATGAAAGTTTGGTGTTTAAAAAAAAACAAAGAAATTTCATAAGTATCTTACAAAAAATATCACAAAGAATAATCTACACGCGCATTGTTGCTGCTCTTGTTGCATAATACCGTCCATCAATGGAACGCCCACATCATCTCCACTTGCGTACAATTGTTGAGACGGGAAATAAAAGGGCTATTCCACAAGCCGGCTTAAGTATATCAGTTGCAAGACGCGATTAGATAAAGCCGCATAACTTCGGGTGATCGCGCGATTCGCGAATACCCGGAGTTCCAAATTGTTGTAGAGAAATTTCATTGAAGGTGCCTCTTCCTCGCCAGAATTGTCGACGACGAGGGCAGATTCTTCGAAGGAATGGCGGGAGTGCCAAGAAGGCAGCCGAGGAGGTCTCCAGGTCTCCAGGGAGGGAGCTACGGAACGTTGTACTGTCAATCGCGCTTCGTTTCACTATATGGAGTGCAGTCGCCGATGCGCACGGCCAGCGCGAGCATCTGTTCTATCGACGTGAGTTGTAACAAGTGTGTAACACGGGGTATATCGCAATCTCGAAGGAAAATACCAAGGGATACCGCGGGGATATTACGTATCAATAAGAAAAAACAGGTGCAATAGAAGAAATGCGATACAAGAAGACGACTTTAGAAAAGCAATTAATATAATAGAAATACTTGAGATATATAAAATTCTAACATGAAAGTGTAAAAATCGAACTGAATATAAAGTTGTAATAATTTAATTTAATTAAAGAAAAGTATCGAGAGATATCGTGCGAATATTATGTGCTGATAAGAAAAAGCAGGTGCAATAGTGTTGGAGAAACGCGATAAAAAAAATATCAAAGGAGATGCCTTTAAAAAACCAATTAACGTAATAGACATATCTGAGAAGTAAAAAACCTTAACGTGAGAGTAAAAATTGAACTGAATATCAAGTAACGATTTCAAAGTAAAATATTAAGTGATATTGCGTGAATATTACGTATTGATAAAAAAAAAGTGGTTGCAATATTGTTGAAAAAATACGGTAAAAAAGTATCAAAGAAAAAATATTTTTAATGTAAGAATCGAACTAAAAGTTTCGAGTTGTAGAGAATTCAAAGGAAAGAATCGAGCTGTTGCGTGCTGCGAATATTTATACGTGTTGATAAAGAAAAGCAGGTCCAATATCATAGAAGAAACGTGACAGAAAAGTATCGGCAGAATTAGAAAAAGTCTTTAAGAAAACAATTAATATAATAGAAATACTGAGACATACAAAATCTTGCAATGAATGTAAAAATCGAACCGAATATTAAGTTGTAGTGTATTCTGAAGAAAATATAGAAATATTGCATGTAAAGTTACGCTAAAATTAAAAGAAAGATACTTGTAAAAGAAACACGTTTGAGGAATATTTTCTGTAAAAAATTAATTCAATCCTCTCCTAATTTAATATTAATGATACAATCATTGTGAGCGTACAAATCGAATGTTGCTCGATATTCTCAATTACGAAAATTAAATATAGAAAACTAATACTGTAATTTCGAGATGCTGGAAGATAAACGAAACATAACATTTATTATTTGATAGTGATCAGATATTGAGATTAATTGGTTGTCTCGGATAATTGCTGAAACGAATAAAGTGATTTTCATTTAATCGAACCGCCGTGTGTTAATTTGGGAGAAATCGCAAGCACGACTGTTTTAAAGACAGTATTTTTATGACCCAGTAATCTTTTCCTCTCCTCTGTGGAGAATCGCGAAGATCGTAGGATCGTGGAGACCGGATCTACGCTCCTGGTTCTCACAGTTAGGTGAATGTCGAGTAGAACCGCTCATAATTAAAGAACAAAGGGGAGCCTGTTTCCTACGCTCGCCTGTTATTCGATTTAACAATGTGTTTTGGAAGCGAGATTGCAGCACATCGGATCTTCAACAAAGCTCGGAATTGCATAAACTGCTAGCGCTGTGCAAGTAACGCCGGACATCATTAAATCAACGTAGACTTACCGTCGCTTTAATCATGTCATTAATTACTTATGTCATTGATGTCGAATCGTCAACATTTCATTCGAACCGAATC